GTTGACTTCATTCTCTTCCAGCTTCCGTGTACCTATGGCCAGTCCGAGTCGGACCGATCGTGGACGTGATTGAACGCAGTGGCCAACCAGACTTAAGGCCGTCGTATGTCATTCGTGCACAAACCCAGCATGAAAGATATCAACTGGAAGAAACGAGGACATAGAGAGTACACTATTTGCCACCCGAAATTGCTGCGGTGCGTTAAGCTGCTGAAGTGTCAGTGTAGACAAAAAGTAGACGGTCTGACACCAATTATACATATACTTTCTTTCTTATTAGCGTCCAGGTTTGTTTCGGTAGATGAGTCTTTAACGTCCCAGATCTTTAGAACTCTAAATATTCCAGCATTATCTCATGTATTCACAGGGATTCGTCACGCTGCATGCAGTTTTCAGTGCAACGGGTGGTATTAACAGGGGACAACCCGTCACATTTGGTAGCGTTCCTGTTCCCATGTCGGGGGAGGCAAGGTCACGTAGGCTAACTGAAAAAAAGCATGTATAAACACGGTTTTTGTTTTTCCACATATCCGAATATCAAGGTCCTCCACCAAATTTAGATGGCCCTCTTGTTTCTTCTACTTTTCTGTTAAGTATCATTTTTGGTGTTTCAATTCATTCCTACATTCTTCTCTTCAGACTGTCAGCTCTGGGTGCAACTAGTCTTGGATATCCTGTTGATCGTTCCGCTCCCTCTGCTCGGCCTACTTTTCGGAAAGGTGAGCATATTTATCCCTCCCCCGTGTCCTCATTCAGTCCATTTTCGTTGAAAGCGACGTCCCCAGAAGGTGCTTTTAAAAGCGGACCCTATTTATCCAGCCGGGAAATACATGTTTATGATGCTCATAACCATAGTCTAATCAGCCTTCCTAACGGCAACTGCTTGTTCAAACTCTACCGAAATTTATTTCCTACAGACTTGGAGTTGGGAGGCGGCTCCATTTGTCATACATTATGCTTGACTAATAGGCTGAAATAGATGCTGATGGTCCATCCTCAAGCATATTATACCCCTCTCATCCTTCATCTCACAGGTCATTCTACCAGCCCTCGACGAGGCAGGTCTTCGTGACAAGAACGCCTGGGCAGTTGATAGAAGAGACTTCCAAGCGCCTTCTTCCTCTACCTCCACGACAGCTGGGGGCTCAGTGGGACTGCTGGACCTGCTTCTCTCTGAAACACCTGCGGGTGGTGCAAGGCACTGCCGACGACAACACCTAATCACTGCAGTGGGCGCTTTAGGCTCTCAGCTTGGATGGCCAGCCTGGGTGGACTTCTATCAGCGTCATCGTTACGTTTCGAACGCTGCCGCTGCCCCCGTCGATGTCGCTCTACCGAGATCTTTGGAGCCGAGAGTGGTACGTCGTCGCCGACGTCTCTTTATGTCCTTGTTTCAAAGTATACCAATAATTCGAAATTATGCTGACAGTCTAGCTTTGGTAGGCAAAGACAAAGAGGACTGGTATGGCTATTTCTGTATTATTAGCCATCGTTAGCCAGTCATACTCAGACTCAGATGGCGTCCCACCCGAGCCTCGAACTCGCGACCTTTTTTATCCGAGTCAAACGCCCTAACCATTGAGCCATGATCTCGTCTCACCGGTTTAGGTCGGGGGATACTGACACTGATGGAAAAGTAGGAAATTCAAAGTTATTGGTTGAAGAAGTCTGGATTAGGTAGAACTATGTGCGGCAGGTAAACGTTCTCCTAACACCAACTTTGAACTTATTCAGATTATTGAACCCAACGCGAACCTCAAACCTAACCGTAACCTGTCCCCTGGGCATTTTATTAAACTCAACCAGAAAAGTAACTCTCATATAATATACCTACCTAAACCACATAAGCAAACATTTTATGGTAATAAAAAAAGTACTTGCGTATAAGGTGGTCGCCTTACCACAGAAAGTTTCTAACATCTCCAACTTATTCCTCCGATACACATTACTTTTAAAAGCCGTAATCTACCGGGCTAAACTTAATGTCTCCCCTTATCCTGCCAGGTCGATACGACAATTACAACGGAGGCAAAACAGACCCCTCCACCTTCTCGGGAGACATCTCCAAGTAGGGAGCCCATGGAACTACCTAATGCGCCTTCAAAGGAAGAAGAGACTTCCATCATTCAGACGGGCCTTACCTCGAACCGTAGGGAGTTTGTTGAAAACCTGCGACGTAGAGAGTACGGTCGCGGTGTGGAGCTGGATGAGACCGCTAACAAGTTGCTACAGGTACATTATTTTGAATCACTTGCTGTTCATTGTCTTCTTTCCTGAGCTGTAGGTCGGAGCG